CTGTGCCAGCAGCTTCGGCCGCTGCAGGAGGCACCACATGGGACTGGGGACCAGCCTCGAGACCCTCACGCTCCAGGGGCTGAGCGGCCATGGCCCTGCCGACCCCTGCAACCACCAGAGCCCGAGGTGAGTCCCACCAGAGCCCCAACCAAGCCCCAGCAGAGCCCCAGCTCTGCAGGACCCCACAGCACTGCAGATCCTTACCCAGTTGAGACTTCATGGCAGCACAGACAAGCCCAAACAGCCCCAGCCCCACTCACCTCCAGCCTATTTATCTGATGAGCAGCCAGCCTGCAGGTGTTGGTCGGTAGCTGCTGATTGCTCTGGTCCCCTCCCAGGTGAGAGCCAGGGATGGGGAAGCCAAGTGTGCTTTGGCCAAGCTTTGTGAAGGGCTGGAGGGAGATGGGACATGTCTGAGGATTTGGAGAGGGATGAGAGATGGGGGTTCAGGGGGTGATTGCCCTGGACAGGCAGGGGAGAGGTGCCTGCCTGCTGCTGGGTGGGTGTTGGGGTGTCAGGATGGCACTTTGCTGGCAGTACCAGCTGGAGGTGTGCAGGGAGACAGCCCACACAGACCTGTTCCCAGTGTGCAGGTGTGATGTGCTGTCTCCCCATTGGGAAGCAGGAGTCTGATAATGGGGGGGAAAACAATCCCACAAATAAGAGGAGGAAAATTAAGAGCTGCTTGGTTAGCCAAGGGAGGCAGGAGCAACTCTCCCTCAATACCTCCAGGTGTGCACTCACGAGCAGGACCACCATTCACTCCTGCCCACTGCATCCCACCAGGCTCAGGGGAGAGCACTCCCAGCCCTGTGTGTGGGAGCACTGAGGGTGCACATGTCCTGTCTGTGCCTCCTCTGTGCTGGTGCCTGTGCCTTCAAGGTGAGTCCAACAGCTCATTGGTGAAGGAACTGTGTGACTGTCCCTCCCCACCTCTTTGGGCAGAACTCACAGGGCTTTCCTCTGCATTGTTTGTCAGAAACAAGTGAGCTGTGAGCTGAAATTACTCATGGCCACCTCAGTGGATGTGTCACCACACCAATGGACCTGCAAAGTGCTGTCCAGAGAGGTCTTTATCAAGATCTGTGCCCACCTCCTGAGCCTGGAGGCTGAATCCTGGCTGAGGTGCCAGCAGGAGCCAGGTCTGGAGCAAGGAGCTGGGAGAGGCACCCAGTTATGCACCTGGAGCTCCACATGCCCAGTTCCCCCCAGACCAGCACTACCAGCCCATTTCTTGCTTCATTTCCAGTCAATTTCTGAGTTTCCCAGGAAGGGGATGATGGGGACACTGGAGGGCTGGCACCACAGAGGGGTTGGGTCTGACAGCTCCGTGATGCCTCTGGCACCCAGCTGAGCATCCCAACTCCTCACTTGCCCCTAGCACCACCAGCAGCAGCCACAGGGTGGGCAAGGTGTGGGGTGACAGCCCTAGGGCTTGGGGCCAGGCTGTGTGCCAGGGCTGCCCCATGTGGGTGGGAGGCATTGCCATACTCCTGTGGGTACAGCCCCATGGACAGCA